GCGATCACTGCATTGTTTTCCCAACTGTTACTTCGTAATTTATGGTCATACCAGCGCTGGTTGGTCGCACAGATAGAAGCAAAACATCATTCAGAAGTGTAAAGCTTTTGCAAAATGAACAAAACGGGTTTCCTTTCCGTGAACTTTGGATCACATCACAATGAACTGAAACTCAGCACATTTTTTTCTTTCGTTTTGTTAATCTGTTAATGATTTAAGTGAAATATATTTCATGTATAAGGCCTATATATTCCTTTTTATGTATATAGTTTTATTCTGTTTTCTCCATTCCCAGAAGCGCTGCAGGTGCGTTATGTGACCTTGTTGAAACCATGTTCTAATACACTATCCTGCCATTTTTGCTGGCTTCAAAACATGCAAAAAGCTGCATATTAGCCTACCTGCCATTTATTTTCACTAAAATGTAGGCCTAATGCTTGGTGGTTCGTGACATCCTCGGATAAACTGACGCCGGGGCACTGCCATTGCGACTTATCTATGATGAGTTCACAGTTGAGCAGGCATTTCACTCGTTGGATGCGTCAGCATCATATTTGCATTGGCCTTACCACTTGAATTGGTGATTGGTTGACTGCAAAATTCAAATATTAAATGGAACAATAAAATTATATTATTAACCGGTTAATGGCCATTTTAAATTTTCGATTCTGTTCGGAAATATTAAATTTGATTTTGTTTCTGGTTACATTCCTGTCAAAATTTTGTTTGTTACCGGTTTTCATTTTCATTCCTTGAACTGGTTCAGAGCCCTGCTACCAACACAACAAAAGAGAATAACTGCACTTATTGCCCTATTGGAGGTAAGGGTGGATGCTGCAATGCTTGAATTGCTGCCAGCCCAAATATTGCTGGTGTAGGTGTTCACAGTTATTGGTCAGGGAGTGCCAGTGCGATGAAGATCACTAGTGATGGAAGCAAAGTCCTAATAAAATGCATGTAACATGAGGCCAAACCAGGAAGCTGTGTGCTTCGGAAACAGTCAACTCTCCATTGTTGCGACCTTCTCAGAGTCAGTTGCTACAGCATCTGTCCCAACCACATGTCCAAGGAACATTGTTTTTTGAACTTCTTGGGGTGAAGGTGCAGTCTAGCATGACCTGGTCTGGTAGAAGACTTGCAGAGACGCTTTAAAGTCCATTACATTAACCAGTAGACCAAAGAGCTGTGTTGTTGGGTGAGCAGTCCGTTGGCAGTGACTCCTTCCTCTGGTTGTGCTGGGTAACAGTGAAGTGAGGAAAGGAGCAGGAATCCGTTTCAACAGCCTTGAACACAAACACTTACATGGTCAGAATATTAAAACAATTGTGATCAAACAGGATACTTTATAAACTTTGTTCACTAAAACTACTTTTGGGGGGGGGGTTGTTGACTGCACACAAATCCATATCCAAAATTCAAAATGCATCTGCACTTTCACAACCTCAAGGCTTTAAAAAAAAAACACGTCTGCATTATTTTAGACTGAAATTACATCAGCTTCTCTCCCATTATGGTGATTGTTAAATGTGTCACGAACTGAGAAATCAAAATTCCCTTGATCTTTTGATGCATAAGAGGTCATTGTATTATAAAAACATCCTGTAAGTTTAAGAACTCAAAACTTTCTCATTAGTCTAAAAACAGCTTATATTAAAGCCAGTCTGCCAAAACGACAGCTTGTGGAATATACGACTCTATGATGTAATAGTGTGGCTAAACAATCTGCCACGTCTATTTAAACAGAGCGTTCCAATGAGGGGAGTCAAAACAGGGCAGAAAATAGCCTGTTACTTCTAAATTATGTTTTTTGATGTAAACCTCTTGATGACATTATAAGTGGACCTCTGGGAACAGTACAAAACTAAAGTAAAAAACAAAAGCAGTTCATGAGGCCTAGTAAGTAATGAGTAATAAGATTTCCTTTACAGGGTTCCAGAGATGATCTCAGTGTCGGAGTAGGTTTAGCAGGTCAGGTGACCCATGTTTTACGCCATGGGAACTCGATGGATGCGTCCTTAACCAAGGAAGTGCTCAACTCCATTACAGGTACAGTGATGCTGCTTAGACTGTCACCCTCTATTCATAGTCTATTCCTCACACAAATCTATCATGCTTTCAGAACATTTGGAATATGATATCACAACGACAAAACTGTCATTGTACAGAAGAAAACATCCTTTAAAAAATAAAAGTTCCTAAGACAAAATGTCTTTCACATACTGATTTGCTTTTTTCCCAGCCTTTTCTTCATTGGCCGTATCAACAGCTAACAATGCAGACTCCAGAGGCTCTCTCATCAGCATCGAGTCGAACCCTAGCACCAGTGACCGCAATAGTGAGAAGATGGATGGATGTGAAAAGGTGAGCAAGTGCATGAACTGACAGACAGATAGATAGAACCAACATAACACATGAACAAAAACAGAAACTCAGAATGAAAGAAAACAGACACACAGAATGAATGAATGATTTTTCTCATGTAACGAGAATGATTGTGATGACTGTATTCAGTTTGCCAGGCCGCAGTCTCTCATTGGGTTTGGTGCACGCTTTGACAAACTGGATCAAGCGGAGACCAGAAGTCTGCTCATATGTTTCCTGCACATCATGAACACCATTTCAGAGGGTGAGACTTTAAATCACTGAACCTCGGAAGAACATGTGTATTGCACATATTCACATCTCATACTGTAGCATGGTGACCTGTAACATAATGCACTGTTGTGAGGATGATGTGCTCTCTGTGTTGCAGAGGTGCTGGTTTCATACTGGCATCGAGCGATCCACCAGGAGATCAGCGATTTCTTCAATATTCTGGAGTGAGTGACTCTTTTCATAAACACCAATAAACGGAGGAATGAAAAAGAAAGAAGGAATCAAATCCTTGTGTGTTTTCATTATTTTGCGTACTTCTTTTTTTAAACAGACTCTGTCTCCAACACTTCCGGTTCCTTGGAAAGCGTCACATTGCCAGGTAAGGTCTCTCCTCAGTTAGATGTGTTTTATGTGTGCTCCGGTGCGTCTGGATGAATGTAAGGGTCTTCCTCTTCTCTTCTCTTCTCTTCTCTTCTCTCTGTTCCTGATTGTATATGTGCTTGTAAGAGGGAGTGAGTTGCAGAGGTGCTGGTTTCATACTGGCATCGAGCGATACACCAGGAGATCAGCGATTTCTTCAATATCCTGGAGTGAGTGACTGTTCATAAACACCACTAAACGGAGGAATGAAAAAGAAAGAAGGAATCAAATCCTTGTGTGTTTTCATTATTTTGCATACTTCTTTTTTTAAACAGACTCTGTCTCCAACACTTCCGGTTCCTTGGAAAGCGTCACATTGCCAGGTAAGGTCTCTCCTCAGTTAGATGTGTTTTATGTGTGCTCCGGTGCGTCTGGATGAATGTAAGGGTCTTCCTCTTCTCTTCTCTTCTCTTCTCTTCTCTCTGTTCCTGATTGTATATGTGCTTGTAAGAGGGAGTGAGAGAAGGAATGTTTCAAAGCTTTATGAAGCATTTCTTTGAAAGCTAATTCACAGTACTTGCAGTCCATAGCAAGTTGCATGATGTAACTGCTTTTTGTGTGTTGAACAGGTCTGGACTGTTTTTGCTCAGGTGTCTGAAATGTCTATCACATAGATAAAGGCTTTTCTTAGCAGGAACTAAAACTAGAGCAACTGCTTACCAGTGCTATATAATGAGTAACAGCCTGTAGAGTCATAAATGAACTCCTGTTTTATTCCCACGTCATATGTTGTCTTTGTATTCTGATGCGTGTTTAATCCTCATCGCGCTCTCTGTTCCCACGTTCATGTTGTCCTCTGTCTGACTTCCACACATAACTTCACATTCTCACAGCAGTCTCTAAAGTTGACAGCACCAGCAGCATCTAACATACAAACTTGACTTGTCCTGCTCTGAAACACTGCCCCAGAAGCTTGGCTTTCATTTTCCTGTCTGTAATGGCTGTGAGGATGAAGGTTGGCGTTAACCCTGCTCTAATTGGCTCGTTGTGTGCACAGGAAGCTAGCGGCCGCTGTTAAGCTGGCTCAGGCCACACAGAACAATGGCACCCTGAAGGGGTCTAACGTGTCCTGCCAGTCTTCAGGGCTCCTACCCCAATGGTAAACACCTAACAGGTCCACACAGAGCTCCCAAAACCACTTACACTCCTAAAGATAAAGCTTCTGGATTGGCATCTGTGTTTCCATGAAGAACCGTTTCCATTGCACAGAAGGGTCTTTATAGTGAAAAATGGTTCTTTAGATTATTCAAATGTTCAAATGGACCCTAATTGGCTGTGAAAAAAAAACACTTTTGGAAGCTTTATTTCTAAGAGTGAAACACAAAGTGTGCAATGCATAGAATTAATTATTGCAATAAATGCATTTCTTAGCTAAATGATTTTTAACCCTGAATATAACGTTCTAAAACACACTCACACATGCACAAAACATTCATCCCACTTTATATCAGGTGTCTTTAACTGTACTTGTGTAACACATTAATTGTCTGGTACAGTGTACTTATTGTGTTCATGTTGTATTGCAAAACACTTTTGCTGCTGTTGAGGAAGGTTAGGGATGCGTTTGGTGTAAGGTTAGGTTTAAGAGTGGATTAAGGGGTAGAAATAGGATCAACAGTGTAATAATAGTGTAATAACTACAGAAATGAATTCCATGCAGGTATTTTTAAAATGTAAGTACTAGTGCTGTCAAATCGATTAATCGCGATTAATCGCATCCAAAATTTGCACATTTCATTTGCACTTATATATTGTTGCTCTTTTGTTAGTTTTGACTGCTTTTATTTCATTTGTAAGTCGCTTTGGATAAAAGCGTCTGCTAAATGACTAAATAAAAAAAAATAAAAAAAATAAAAATTTAAGTTTGTGTTTACATAATATATGTGTGTACTGTGTATATATTTATATGTATATATAAATACACACACATACATGTATAAATGTAAGAAATATTGTGTATATATTCATAATTATATATGATTTATATTATATATAAATATAAATATATGTATTACATTTATTTCTTAAATATATACACGTATGTGTGTGTATTTATATATACATATAAATATATACACAGTACACACACATATATTATGTAAACACAAACTTTTATTTTGGATGCGATTAATCGCGATTAATCGATTTGACAGCACTAGTAAGTACGATGTAAAAAGCATGTATGTACACAGTGAGTGCAATTTGTATTAAATGATTCATTTAAATGCTAGTGCTTAAGGACACTTCATATAAAGTGGGTCCGTCCTGTGTAAATATCATCATGTTACATCCATAGTGAGGGAACCATTTTTGTCTGTATCCAGCAAACCTGTCTCATTCACCTCCTGATAACGTTTATACAGGCTTTCTGCAAGTCTTAAAAAGGTCTTAATTCATTCTTTCACAAAATAAGGCCTTAAAAAAGTCTTAAATTCATAAAATCATTAAATGTGACATGCACTGCAAAAAAAATGAATCTTCCTCAGTATTTTTGTCTTGTTTTCCAGTACAAACATCTAAACATCCGTAAAGGGATAGTTCACCCAAAAATTAAAATTCTGTCATTAATTACTCACCCTCATACTTTTTGTGCGCAAAGAAAACAAAAAATAATGAGGTTATTCAACAATTCTTCACCTCTTCATCCCATCTGCAGTTTTTGTTTTCTTTGCGCACAAAAAGTATTCCCGTAGCTTCGTAAAATTACGGTTGAACCCCTGATGTCACATGGACTATTTTACCGATGTCCTTGCTACGTTTCTGTGCGTTGATCGTGGTAATATCCTTGCTGTCTATGGAGGGTCAGAGAGCTCTCACATTTTATCAAAAATATCTTAATTTGTGTTCTGAAGATGAACGGAGGTCTTACGGGTTTGGAACGACATGAGGGTGAGTAATTAATGACAGAATTTTCATTTTTGGGTGAACTAACCCTTTCAATCAAGATTTACATTTAACTGAGATTCAAACTGAAGATGTAAAGTCTTGTTTTCTGAAACAATTTAACAAAATTAAGTGAGTTTATGCCTAAAAGTCAAGTCAAGTCAATGCAGATTGTGTCAAAGCAGCTTTAAAGTATTAAACAGGGAAATAGTGTGTCGAAATAGTGTGCAGTTCTCCTCTGGCCAGACGAATCCAGCCGTTTAATAGGCTGCAGCAAAGTCAGATTGTGCAGAGGACTCATCTGGTTGCCGTGGTCTTGTCCCGGTGGCCGTCTAGGAGACGAGGTCTTCACTGGGGATCTGTCTCTGGGGCTCATCTAGTTGTCCTGGTCTCCACTGACATTCATAAAACAAGATCTGTCTGTCAATGGGATATTAAAACCTGTTTCCTCTTTTAATTAAGTTGATTTTTCTGAGCCTATTGGTAGATATTTGTTCTTGTTTTATTCACAAACTCACTTCATTTTGATATTTTTCTCATAAAACAATTATTATTTCCATTCTCTAGTGTTAGGGAGCAGCACTATTCAAGCCATAAGGCCTTTTTTTTATAAAATGAATTAAAATTGGAAGTTGTATTTCAAACCTTGAAGTGATGCCAATACAAGACATTTGCATTTAGAAACATATTTACATAATGTGTTCCATTCAATTTATCTTTATTTTATTTTTACTTGGTCTTAAAAAGTCTAACATTTACCTTCATAAAACCTGCAGAAACCCTGTTACATGTCTCTGTTGTTACAAAGAAAATAAAAGGCTATTTAGTTTATTTTGTAGTTTGCACATTCACACATTTTAAAAATACTGTTGACTTTCTGTAAACACTGAAATCATTTCCAGCAGTTCCAAGCAAGAAAGTGGAGAAATAGAGGGAGAAAATGGGGGAATTGAATCATTTTCTCTGCTATTGTCATGACATCTCAGGATTATGTTATTGCTGCTGTTCCCAGGATGCTCTCTGCTCAGGACGGGCACAGACATGCCCGCTCACAGACCATGCCCATCATCAGGGGGAAGAATGCCCTTACCAACCCCAAACTGCTGCACATGATGGAGACCACGGGTAAACATACACTCAGCTCAACCGCCGGTGAAAACCTGTGATACATACAGTAAAATTACAATGACTGAACTGAGCAAAAGCATGTGTATCATAACTGGTGTGTGTGTGTGTGTGTGTGTGTGTGTGTGTTAGATGGAAATGTGTCTGAAGGAGAAAGCGTCAGCCCTACAGATATTGAAGCCAATCTTTCTACTGAAGTAGCACTGACTGTGTTAGATGTTCTGGATCTGTTTGTTCATCATCACAAGGTAATATAGACACAGCTTTATGATGTGTACAATATACACTCTGATAATAATGTTTTTCCACACAAGAGAATACATAGTTTCCATACTTACTAGAAGTATATGAATTAGGATTAGAGCTTAGTGATATACAGTATCATAAAACTCTTTAAAAAATATTTTTTTAGCCTGTTGCAACATCTTGATATTTATGCACAAACATGAAGACTAGGAGAAATTATATTAAAATATTTTTTTTTTCATATGGATCAATGACAAGAGTGTCTGAGATAATAAAAAGGACTAAATCCTTTGAAAATAGTTTGAAAAACAGGGCTTAGTTTTTAGAAATCTTTATCATTTTTGAAAAAAAAAAGTTTTCTACAATTTGATTTTAAGACTCTAAAAAATGACAGATGATGTAACCATCTAATAAAAAATACTTTAATTGTACATGAAGTGTGCATAACTAAATCTTTTTTTTTTTTTTAAATCAAGCATTTTCAAAGATTATTTATTTATTTATTTTCTTTTTTTTTTTTGTCATGAGCATCAAGCAGTTTTCTCTGTTTGGGCTGAACAAAAATGTGCCAAAATATCTTATAATAATAATAATAATTACTGCACTTTGATTGGGTGGACAAAAGTATTTCAAATACTAGTAACAGTAATAATAGTAAATGCTTCATTGCTTACTGTTTTTAAGAAATACCGCAAGATCATGTCACACTACACATGCCAACATTAACTCGTTTAATGTCAATTTAGATATCAATCAATGTTGACACTAAAATATCTGAACACTGTTCTGCTTGTGAAAAAATGGATGGATTGCAACATTATTCTTTTGGCCCAAAATCACTGCAGTATTCACAATCAATCTGTTTGTGACTGTTCACTTCATTCTGATTGTAAGGAGGTTATTTTGCCATCTGGTGGACACATGGTGCATTTTCTTCAAGATGACTAACTCCTGCTATCTTCTCTTCTTCTGCAGAAACGGTTGCAGCACGATGACGGGCAAAACTCTCTGATGAAAAAAGTGTTTGACACGTACCTGCTGTTCTTCCAGATCAACCAGTCCACCAGCACCCTCAAACACGTCTTCACCGCCCTGCGCCTCTTCATTCACAAGGTGTCACTCTTTCTCCTCATACATGCTCAAACCTTTGTTCTTCCCAACAGTGGCCGGTGCAAGAAATTATTGGGTGAATTCAAATGGTAAAGTAGTGCATCTCTGATCACTCTGACAATTACTTTGTATTTCCTTAAGGGATTGAGCTGTTTGCTTTAATATGGAACAACTGGCCCCTTTTCACTTTGAAAAAAAACTGGAATTCACCCATTTTCTGATTTTTAGGAGCCAAGCACCTACAGTGGGTTCTGTTCAGGAGTCTATGGCAGCCCATAAAACTGCTTGTAGGAAAGTTATGAAATTTGGCACACAGATAGAAGACAGTCTCAACATTAATCATCGCAAGTTTAGAGTCTCTAAATCAAACTCTGTAGCGCCACCGCTTGTCCAAATTTTCACTCATGTTTATGCTAATAACTTTTGAACCATAACGTTTAGAAGCGAAATTCTGTTTCCTCTGATTCCTTGGCTCATACCGAGTCAAATGGACACCAAAATTTAAATTTCTATGGGTCAAGATTTTTGGCAATTTTTAATTATACGAAAAACTTATTTTTTTTAACTCGTCCTAGACAGTTTGTCTGATTTTCACCAAAATTGGCTCAGATCATCTTTAGACCATGCTTGCAAAAATGATGGAATTCAAGTTGATTAGTCAAACACTTTAGGTGTGTTTTTTGGTGTGTTTTATAATAACTATGACCTGAGGCTACCTGCACAGTTTCGCTGCAGTGCCACCTAGTGGTCGGGAGATATGAAAAATGGCTATTTTTGCTTATAACTTCTGAACAGTTTGGCCAAAAATCACTGCCAAAGCTTTGGCATATTCACACCAAACTTTGTATGTGCCATTGTCATCTCACACTGAACACATCAATTTGATAACAGCGCCACCTATTGGTGAAAAGAGATAGGCCATTAAAGGCACAATATGTACATTTTGCCGCTAGAGGGCGCGTATTCAAAATAAACAAAGAGACAAAGGCGTCGTTTGATGACGCTGTGACTGAGTGTGGAATCATGGGAGTTGTGGTCTTCATCCCCATAGCCGATGCAATCCGACGGGACTCGGGCAGAAATCATGTTCATGGATGAGCTAATGATTTATTAACGTAGTAGAATGAAGCAGGGTGAGGCTGAAAGCCGTCGAAGCGAAACGAGGCCGCTGAACGAGCGTGACACACGGCTCGAAAGCAGCGGAGCTTTTATTATGCCACAGTCGACCGCTTCCGCTCCTTCCGGTCGTGAGTATGTGGGTTTTCTACAAAACAAAACCGGAAATCGAGGGGTTATGACGTCATTAGCAGGCGACACAATGACACTATGGACACGCTCCGTGACACTAGTTAAAATTGCTAACTAGTGGCTTAAAAAAATGGCTTAATTACTTAATTGCTGCTTGCAGTTATATTTCGTTTTGTAATTATTGAGCTCACCTGTGGTTGTCTTCCGGTGTATTTGAACCCCTTTAGTAGACCAAAACCTACCAAAGGAAATATTAGTCATGGATTGTACAATTCTAACATCTTTACCTCAGTGGAAAACTCTGGAGGTTTAACTAGGATGCATGAAAGTGTTTTTTTTTTTTTTGTGGGGACACATAAATGAAATATTACTTGAATTAAGCCACCACACCAAAAATAAGAGGAACACAATTACAATTTGGTTTTGTGTTTTATGACAGGTGCAGTTTTACAGAGAGATAATGACGTCTGATGGTCATGATAATCTTCTTTTGGTTTCACGAGTAAAACATCTAAATAACCCTATTGTCATAAGGACAGAACTATATGCTTTAAAATGCAAAATTCAGTTTCACAACCTGTAAGAAATTTCTGTGCACTGTGTACCGAATGTAAAAGTGACTATATTGTGCAGGCAAAGGTTTTAGGTTTGAATACATTGTGCTCAGTAACTTTTTTATCTTAATGCATGAATAAATATAAACATAATATTGATTTTGGAGGGTTCATTAAAGAGCGTCAACACTGAAACTGATCTCTGTACTGATCTCTGACTCTCACGCTCTTCCTCTTCAGTTCCCGTCCACAGTTTTCCAGGGTACAGCGGATCTGTGTGGCAGTCTGTGTTATGAGATCCTGAAGTGCTGTAACCATCGCTCCAGCTCCACTCAGACCGAAGCCGCCGCGCTGCTCTACTTCCTCATGAGGAGGAACTTTGAGTTTACGAAGGGCAAATGCATCGTCCGCTCACACCTGCAGGTCAGGCTTCTGTTACTCTGCTGCCAGTGGGTGTCTGTATTTGGGTTATGCTTTAGATTCGATATTTAGACATTCTACTGACTATAAGCGACTTTAAACCAACTATATTGCCTTTCAAAAGTTTGGGATCTGTTGTTTTTTAAAGAAGTCTCGTCTGCTTATCATGCTGCATTTATTTGATCAAAAATTCAGAAATAAACATTTTCTATGTGAATATATAGTAAAATATAATTTATTCTTGCTGAATTTTCAGCATCATTACTCCAGTCTCCAGTGTCACATGATCCTTCAAAAATCATTTTAATATGCTGCTTTATTATCAATGTTGGGAACAGTTGTGCTGCTTAATATTTTTTTGGAACCTGTGATACTTCTTTCAGGATTCTTCTTTCTTTGATGAATAACATGTTAAAAAGCATTTATTCAAAATAGAAACCTTATCTAACAATATAAGCCTTCTATTACTTTTTATCAATTTAAAACAAGAGTATTAATTTCTTTAAAAATAATAATAATAATAATAATGTACTGATTTTTATTTAGAATTAATGCCGTTCTTTTTACCTTCTTATTTGTCAAAGAATCCTGAAAGAACTATCACAGGTTCCAAAAAAAAAAAGAAGCACAACTGTTTCCAACACTGATAATAAATCAGCATATTATACTGATTTCTGAAGATCATGTGACACTGAAAACTGGAGTAATGATGCTGAAAATACAGCTGCGCATCACAGGAATAAATTACAGTTTACTATATATTCACATAGAAAACAGTTATTTTAAATTGTAATAATATTTCACAATATTACTGTTTTTTTCTGAATTTTTGATCAAATAAATGCAGCGCTGATGAGCAAATGAGACTTCTTCACAAAAACAACTGATCCCAAACTTTTGAATGGCAATATAGTTGGTTTAAAGTCAGTGGAATGTCTGACTATACTATATCCCAAACTTTTGAATGTTGATGTGCATTACAACCAACTTTCATTATTTCACCACTACATGTAGAATAAGTTAACATGTACTTACAAACTTGCATTCAATCAGCAGAATGTCCATCAAAATGAAGAGTTAGCAGATATTAAGCAGAAAGTCACTAATACTCTAATGCCTGCTAGATGACATGGAGTTACAAAGTTACTTATAGTTAGTAGAATCTCTAGAGTGGACTATCAGAATAAACCTGTATTCGTGTGTCTTATGGTGTATGTGTTCAGTCTTGTATTGAAGATAACTGACAATATGCTTTTTCTGGCTGGTTTGGGGACTGAATGTGAGAAACTGATTTGGATTCTTGTCTTCTTCTCATCCAGGTGATTAAATCTGTCAGTCAGCTGATCGCTGATGCAGGTATCGGTGGTTCACGCTTCCAGCAGTCTCTGGCCATCATCAACAACTTCGCCAATGGAGACACGCCACTCAAAGTGAGAGTTTAGCAAAGATAACACTTTAACCCTTGTGCAGTGCTGTAAATACTTTACCTAATTTGGTATTTCTGGTAAAAAAAAATGACTGGCCTTTTAAAAATTGCTTGTAAATCTCTGTATTTATTTTATTTAACTGATTGATCATACGCCTCATTGATCTCCGTTTTTGAGTGAACATTGCCAAAATTATCCACAAATGATGCTTTTTTCAGTCAAGTGTAACAAGGTAGGGGACAAATCCCAAAAAAGTGCTAAAAATATAAATTTTTTGGGGAAGTAGTTATTCCCTGTTTGAGCAAAGTCTGTAAATTTTAGTCCAATGTGTTAACATTAACCAGCATTTTTGGAAAAAATAAAATCCTCATTAGGTCAATAAGGGTTAAAACTATAGCGTGTATCTTCTGTGCCATCAAATGTAATTGCAAAAATAGTGATAGATTTAATGAATTTGATTTGCAAGCAGTTTCGGAGGACCAGATTTACAGTCATAGAAGACAAGAACAGCACAATCACATTACCTAGCGCTGTATCGTTACAAAAATATAATGTTAATCAACTGATCTTTTGCTTTCTTCCAGAACACCACGTTCCCGGCTGAGGTGAAGGACCTGACCAAGAGGATACGCACCGTCCTGATGGCCACCTCCCAAATGAAAGAGCATGAAAAGGACCCGGAGATGTTGGTGGACCTGCAGTACAGTCTCGCCAACTCCTACGCCAGCACACCTGAGCTCAGACGCACCTGGCTAGAGAGCATGGCCAAGATCCACGTTAGAAACGGAGACCTGTCTGAGGTCCGAATGACTTCATCCAGAGGATCTTGTCATTAGCTGGTTTCATGCATGAATGATGAAAACAAGATGCTAGATGAAGACTCAGCCTCAGTCACAATATAATATATGCAATGAATGAGAATGGTGACTGTCGGTCCCTAACGTTCTGCATAACATATAAACAAATGTGAGGGTGAATAATTTAATAGTAGAATTTTAATTTTTGAGGGAAATATTCTTTAAAGGAATAGTTCAAACTGAACAAAACTTAAAATGTGCTCACGCTCAGGCCATCCGAGATGTAGATGAGTTTGTTTCTTCATCAGGTTTGTAGAAATGTAGCATTGCATCAGTGTCTCAGCAATGGATGCTCTGCAGTGAATGGGTGCCGTCAGAATGAGAGTCCAAACAGCTGATAAAAACATCACAATAATCCACAAGTAATCCACAGCACTCCAGTCCATCAGTTAACATCTGGAGAAGACAAAAGCTGAAACAATTCCATCATAAAGATGTTTTTAATTAAAATGCGAGTCCATAATCCATAATAACGCTTCCTCCAGTGAAAAAGTGTTCTGGTCTGAATCAGGAGAGAAATCAAGCACCATTTAAACAGCTCTAAACAAATATGTGAGAGACAACAGCAGATGCACTTTTTCACTGGAGGAAGCGTTATTATGGATTATGGACTCATATTTTAGTCAGAAACAATGGACTGAAGTTAAAAACTGCCCAGTGATGGAATCACACATTAGGTGAACTATTTCTTTAAAGGTTCATTCATGCAGAAATCAGCACCTCAGATTTGAATTTTTCTGAAAGGGACTTGTGCTTTTTGTATCTCATTTAAAATGAAATTTTGAAAACTCTTTTCCTTGTCCACTTCAGGCGGCCATGTGCTATATCCACATCTCAGCACTTATAGCAGAGTCTCTGAGGAGGAGAGGTGAGCAGCTGCTTGTGGCGATCAGTATTTCAGTAATGCCTGCTTATATCAATGCAATAGGTTTTTTTTTCTTTGCAAACATCGCATAAATAGCCTTCCTATTGAGCTTTCGTTTGACATGCTGTTTGGCCATTGCTGCTCAGTTGTTGTTGTTTTTTTCAGTGCTGCACTTCATAATGAAAAATGCTCCTTGCTCCTTCCTGCCACTTGCTTTATTCCTTATACTGTGAGTTTTTGTGGCTTTGTCATTAGATGCATTCTAGCTCATTGTGTGGCTGGCGTAGATGCATGAGTTTACAGAATAGATGCATGGCTGGAGCACTTGCCTTCGTGATAAGTATGAAATAGGGGTGAGCAGTATGAACAAAAATCTTTTTACAGTATGGCTAATTGAATATAATGTTAACAGTGTATATCATAATGTAGCTGTTTTTACTGAATATTCAACTAACGGCTGTGGAAATGTTTTAAACGCTACTTCATATCACTTAATCATCATTAACATTATAGCAAAATCTCCACCGACTGACTCTTGCACGGTGCATCCCGTCATACTGCTCAGCCCTAGGTTGCGAGTAAACTTGTGTTAAACCTGATGCCGCTCTGCAATCACAGGTTACTGGAAGTCTGAGAAGGGTCGGATCTCAAGTGTGAGCAAAGAGGGAGCCTGTGTAATTAACTCTAGCCCCTTACTAACTCCCCACGATGGAGAAAGTGAGTGCACCTCCGCCTGCCCCGTCCGGCAGTGTTCTGTCTGTCTGTCTAAACTAAACACTGAGTTATTATTACAGGGCTACTTCTCAAGCGGATTAGTTTACCTTAACCCTACATGTCAAGTCAGTTTTGTTTGTGTAGCGCTTTTCACAGTGCTTATCGTTTCATAGCAGCTTTACAGAAAATAGTGCCACAGTAAGTGAACCAAAAGCAAATGTGGCAAGGAACAGATTCCCTAAAATGTTTAGCTAGTAGATTTTAGTTACATACTTAAGTTAAGTCAGTGTACACTGTAAAAATCATTTTCTTATTGATTGTGTCTTTTTTTCCCATGATGTTCTGAGATCAGCAGTACTGTGCAAAAGACTAATAGCAATTTTAGGTTTCCTAATGTTCTTGTGAAGCATGTAAATGTGCCTGTAAGCTTTTGCACTGTACAGTATAAGTCTGAGAAGGCATAGCATAAACCTAAGTTTGTCAGTTTCATCCTGTTTTAACAATTTATGTTTTTTAACAGGAAAACAAAGCAAACATTCCTATTTAAGGAATAATTCACCAAAAAATGAAAATTAGCTAAACAATAGCTAAAGAAAAAAACCCTCAGGCCATCCAAGATTAGGATGAGTTTGTTTCTTCATCAGATTTGGAGAAATGTGTCATTGCATCAGTGTCTCAGCAATGGATGCTCTGCAGTGAATGGGTGCCGTCAGAATGAGAGTCCAAACAGCTGATAAAAACATCACAATAATCCACAAGTAATCTCCACACTCCAGTCCATCAGTTAACATCTGGAGAAGACAAAAGCTGTGTGTTTATAAGAAACAAATCCATCATTAAGAGAGTAATCTGCACAGATCAAGCACCGTTTACAAGCCTAAACAGTCCAAAACAGCTCTAAACAAATATGTGTGTGGCTTTTGATATGAGAGACAACAGCAGATGGACTTTTTCACTGGAGGAAGCGTTATTGTGGATTATGGACTCAATGTTTTTATCAGCTGTTTGGACTCTCATTCTGACGGCACCCATTCACTGCAGAGCATCCATTGCTGAGACACTGATGCAATGCTACATTTCTACAAATCTGATGAAGAAACAAACTCATCTACATCTTGGATGGCCTGAGCGTGAGTACATTTTCACGACTATTCACACAACTATTCCTTTAAGTAATACATTTTTGCTGTATGAATGTAAATATTGCCAAATAGTATTCATACACTTTTTTCCCCGATTAATTTAACTCTTGGAATCGGCTTGTTTTTCTCAGAAAGGTAATGTTTTAATAAGGTTTTTTTTTTTTTTAATTTGTGTTTTAAAAAAGAGGTCTTCCTGAATTTTGGCTTGTGTAAGGTATTTGTCCTCCCGTGCAAATAATAATGTGAACCGTGCATGTAAGACCTGAATGTGAATGAGCGTGTCCACAAGCACTCCCTGTTTCCAGCTCACCTCATGTTTTCACGATTCAAGCAAATGCTGCTTGAAGACACAAATGTCCCTGTAATGTGCCACATACTGTCATCACAATGCAAACAGTGTTTGATTACACTTAATAGAACCAGTGATAATTTAAAACTAAATTATTGTGTGATTGCAAATGTACGACTTAATAGATAGAAAGTAAAGTGGATGGATGTATGGATTAATAGATGTTTGGATGTGAAAATGGAGTGGATCCATCCATGCATGAGGATTTGAGAATGGTTGGAATACAAAGACTAATACCTGAATGGACAAGTTGATGGATGGGTACATAGAAGACGGATAGATGGATGAATGAGTAACATACTCCCCGTGTTTGTGTATGAACCCGCAGCTTCATTCAGTATGGGCTGGGCCGCCTTCATGAACATCTCTCCTAATGTGAAAGAAGAGGGAGCGATGAAGGAGGACGCCGGCACTCAGGACACTCCGTACACGGAGGTGCAGAATCACTCCACACATCTCAGAGTGAGTGTTTATAATGTCTCTCATAAAGGTGCTGAGTGACCTCTCTGTCCTGTAGGACACACTGGTGGAGCAGCTGGAGATGTGTGTGGATTCCCTCTGGAAGTCTGAGAGATACGAGCTCATCGCAGAGATCAACAAACCTGTTATAGCCGTCTTCGAGAAGAGACGAGATTTCAAGGTACTTTGATTATCAGTGGACTGATAGGAAAACACAAGGGACGTGTTTATGAACTGTATCTGTGTGTCCTGTAGCGGTTATCAGAGCTGTACTACGACATTCACCGCTCGTACCTGAAGGTGACAGAGGTGGTGCACTCTGAGAAACGCCTGTTTGGACGCTACTATCGTGTGGCTTTCTATGGACAGGTGAGACGAGCAAACACTCTTTTGGAAGTCATACTTTATGAAAAGTGCAAAAGTGCAGTTGTCACCTGATATTTCTGCACTCCTTCAGAGATCTGATGAAATCTGCACTAATCTCTACAAAGAAAAGCTCAGCTATCACATGTTGACATTAGCAGATTTATTAGTTATGTTATTTTGTAAGTTCATAGCCACACTGAAAAAAAAAGAAAAAAAGATTGACCAACCTGAAAAAAGCTCAGCCAGATGTTTTTCTCAAATATGATTTATTTTGATTTAATATTATGATTAAATGTGATTAATCATTGCGAACATTGGACTCATTTTGCAACAAGTTTTGGTGTGAGAACTCAGTCTTGGTTTGCGAATGGGCCTTAAACCTTAACAGAGTTTAAAATTGTCAAATGAAAAAAAAAAACTCTGTAAACAAATAAATACAAATTAGTGTGGAATATCAAGCATGCCCAAATGAGCATGGCTAGTATGAGTTCACTCAACAAGTTTTATTGATCCTAATTAATGAAGGCAAATAGATATTTACTGTCCATAACTCTTGGTGTGTTTAAACACTCTTCTGTTCTCTCCTGTGTGTTGTGTATCTATCAGGCAGTGGTAAGTTTAGTTTAAGTTGTTCTGCTCTCACTCTTAACTCTCCTAATCTCTCCCTACACGCTAATAATATGTGTGTCACACATGGTTTGATACAATATTTCTCCTGGACGTGATCGTTCTCCTCTGCTGATGTAATCCTGAGCGTTTATACTGTGTGTGTACATTGTGAGTGATTTCAGGTAAATGAAGTTGAGTTTCAGACAGAGACATCTAAATGTGATGTTAACCTTCATTACAGAAGTTGAGTTCATTGTGCTTTGTCATTTTAACAGCGTGTTGCATTGACTGTTGTGTTAACAATTGGGCTTCAGCAAAAGCTGTTATATCCACCTTATTTTTAACATAAGAGCAGGTGCGGCTATTTGTAAATTGAATATGCTGTTATACCTCTTGATATTGCAAACTGGCATTGGTCATCATTTTATTTGAATATATTATTGTAATCATAAACACACTGGTTTGTAGCACAAACGGAGTAAATACTAAAAGTTTTACCTTTTACTGTACTTTATTCTTGTGTTTATTCATCTAACATTAGGGTGGCCATTTCTATACTCTGCAGGATTCATGAAGGCAGGATAAAAACCCTAAACCAGTTACAAAAAAAAAAAACATTCCCATTAAGGGATGATATTTTTCACTTTAAATTGATTTCCAGGGACATTTTTTATCCTTTACAAGGGCAAATTTTCTAATTTTATTAAATGCATGCATAATCTTTCATGTAAATTCATATATTTATTAAATAAATGCAATTAGAATAATAAGACACTATGTGCACCAGTCAAATGAAATCAATATCAATATAATCCATGTTGGTACTTCATAAGTACATACATTTATATATATTTAGACACACTGTTTAATGCAGCCCAGAGATGCCATGAATGCATTTACACTACAGATACAATTGCATAAATAATGTTAGGAGATTCATATAAAATATACGGAATATATACAGTAACTATGAAATTATACTTTAAATATGAAACTAAAAACTACCAGTAGGTGGCGACAAGTCACTGTCGTAATGAGTGAGTCATTGATTCACTCATTCAACCAATTTGTTCAAAACGGTTGATTCATTCATTTCATTTATTTATTTAACCAGGAAGAGACTCACTGAGATTAAAATCTCTTTTCCAGGAGTGTCCTGGCCAAGATAGGCAGCCGAGTTTGCATATACAAATAAACAACGTAGTTACAACATACATTACAAAACCAACATATAACCGGTTAAAAACAATTACACACCATTAGGGATTCAGGAATAAAGTGAGCCATTTGCTGATTTCAGAAGTGTGTACTAGATACTACTCTTACTATTTCTACCATATGAAGATATGCTAAAGTAGTAAGAGTAGTATACTAGTATGCAGTTTAGAATTTATGAATGGATGAATCTTTGACTCACCTGATTTGTTCGAAAACGCCGAATCCTTCAGGAACAAAACGCCATTGTTATCGTAGATGCAGTGATTGGCGAAATACAGCAGATCAGTCCATACTGATAATATTGTGTCTAAAATGGACGTCACTCAATAGTAACCTGAACATAAGTTACATTTATTTATTATATACCATTGTATAAAGTATAAAATAGAGATCTTAAAAGTAGGACACACCGTTGCTGAAGCCTCTGCTGGTAGACGGACTGTCCAACCTAAAACCGGACAAATGGCCACCCTGTCGCACATAAAAACACCGAAAAATAGCTTACTTCCGTGCAAAATAAGGTGGATACTCTGTGCTAGACACTCCATAAACTGGTGATCTCTAGTTCATGTGCAGTGTTGTGTTCACCAGGGCTTCTTTGAGGAAGAGGAGAGTAAGGAGTTTATCTATAAAGAGCCGAAGCTCACAGGACTGTCAGAGATTTCTCAAAGACTCCTCAAACTCTACTCAGACAAGTTTGGAGCTGACAACGTCAAGATGATCCAAGACTCCAACAAGGTTTGTTCTGCTGGCTCTTCTATGCCTCCTTTCTCTGACCTATGAAGAATCTCTTGTCTGAATCACAGTGAAGCTCGTTTATAGTCACTAGGATGACAGTGTTGTTTACTGTGTGTTTTTCGCAGGTGAATCCTAAAGACCTGGACCCCAGATTTGCTTACATCCAGGTGACCTACGTAGTGCCTTATTTTAATGAGAAGGAACAAATAAAGTCAGAATTGTAAAATTAAGGTTGTAATTACCTTTGTTATTTTAATTTTGTGGTGGAAACAAAAACAGAATTCAGAGACAGTCAGATTTGCGACATATTAAGTCAGAAACTTGGAATTGCAAGGAAAAAAAGTCATAATTCTGTATTTTTATTTTGCGATTCTGACTTTTCATGTCAAAATTCTCTTTTTTCTTGCTATTCTGAGAAAAAAAGCAAAATTTGCAAGAACAAAAGACAGAATTGTGAGATATAAATGCACAATCGCAAGAAGAAAAAAGTCAGAAAGGTGAGATAGAGATAAAAAGTACTTTTTACATTTTTGTTTTATCCTGTGGCAGAAACAGGTAGTAAGAGTTTTTAGCATTCTAGAGCTTCTGCCTGAATTATACACCCCTCTCTTTCAAGATCCCGTCAAGCAGAAACTCGGCAAGCATTGCGTTTATTTTCATGCACTTTTCACACACCTTCCTCCTCTGTCTTCCTACTCCTGTTAGGACGTAAGCCGTTGCTGACAACTGGATAATTGCAAACCCTTAACTTGCCCCTTTCCAACTCATGAAACCACTCTTCTGTACTGTACTGTACTGTAAAAATCCATCAGGCACTCAGCTTCCAGCGTCCCGTATACCGTATGGACTGCCTGCTGTTAATGCATGCATGAATATATTGAAAACACTGCCAGAAGCACTGACCTAATAATGGCCGTTTTGCATTTCAGACCACAAAACATAATGTAAACGATGGATATCTGTTTATTTCTTTGCAAACCTGGCAAATATTGGATGTCACAGACCCATTAACTCCCATCTCTGCTGCCTGTGTTGTTCTGCAGCGAGCTCCGGTTTTCCCTTCTTGAAGAAGCGTGTCGAGGTGGTGGAGCAGCAGAGCACAGAGATGAACCCCATCGAGGTGGCGATCGACGAGATGAGCTGCAAAGTGTCTGAGCTCAATCAGCTGTGCGGCATGGAGGAGGTGGACATGATCCGGCTGCAGCTCAAACTACAGGGCAGCGTCAGCGTGAAGGTGAGCGATGCACAACAGATCTTCTGATGCTGTTGGGGAAGTATCTAGTTACTAGTTACATGTAACTGAATTACAAAATAAAAGTAACTGTTACAGTTACTGAGCTTCAAAATAACATTAAATCAAAACTGACACGAAAGGAAAACACCTTTATAGACCTTTTTATCTTATGAAAACTGTTTAATGGTGCTGTAAGCTATGAAAGTAATTGGGACTTTGTCACAATTCTCTTTTTTTTCAATTCTGAGGAAAAAAGTGGAATTGCGCGAGATATAACGTAAGAATTGTGAAATAAAAAGTTGCAGTTACCTTTATCATTTTATTATGTGGTGGAAACAAAAAAGCAGAGTTCTGAGAAAAAAGTCAGATTTGCAAGATATAAACTCTTGGAATTGTGAGGAGTTTATATCCAAAAAATCTCTGATTATATCAGGTTTATATCTGGAACGTTTACATCTTGCAATTCTGACTTTGTGTCAAAATTCTGTCTTTCTTTTCCAGCCATTCTGAGAAAAATTCAGAATTGTGTGAGAAACTTGTAATGGCAAGAAAAAACTTTAAAAAGTCAGAATTGTAAAATTGAGACATATAAACTCAGATTTGCGAGATTTAGGATTCTGAGAAAAAAAAAGTCAGAATTGTGAGATTTAAACTCAGAATTGCAAGTAAAAAAGTCAGAATTGTGAGTTTATATCTTGAAATTCTGACTTTATATGTCGCAATTCTGAGAAAAAAAAAGTCAGAATTGTGAGATGAACTTGCAAGAACAAGAAAAAATAAAGTCAGAATTGTAAAATTAAGGTTGTAATTACCTTTGTTATTTTAATTTTGTGGTGGAAACAAAAACAGAATTCAGAGACAGTCAACAGATCTTCTGATGCTGTTGGGGAAGTATCTAGTTACTAGTTACATGTAACTGAATTACAAAATAAAAGTAACTGTTACAGTTACTGAGAAAAAATGTGTAACTCAATTACAGTTACTTATGAAAATTTTAATGATTACAAAGAGGGTTACATCTGAATATTTTCACACACATACAGATTTGTGACCCTGGACCCTGGAGTCTTAAGTCGCTGGGGTATATTTGTAGCAATAGCCAAAAATACATTGTATTGATTTTCTTCTTAAATTGCATTGACTGCTCTAAATTATGAGACACCAATGTTTCAGGAGTTTAGGGCACATGCATATTCGATAACCGTTTTATTTCCTATTTCGGTTTTATGTATATGCTCTATTTTTTAAGATTAACTGTTTTTTCCAAGGCATTGTTAGATGCCAGTGTTTCTTGTCATAGCTATGGAACGATTTGATTTCCAAAACAGTATCTATTAAACTGCATCTTATGATTTTAAACCTGCATTTCACCTTAGAATGATCTCAAAATAAAAAGAGGTGCTAAAGACTGTGCTTAAAAATTCAACGATTATAATCTTAATTCAAGTGATGAGGGATTTTTGACATCAGTGTTGAGTTCTGCTGTAAGGTTAACCCCCGAAAATTATTAACAGTTTAGAAAAATTTAGATTATTTAAATTTAGAAGTAATCAAAAATACACAAATGTAATAAGTTACATTACTTTAATAAAGTAATTGAAATAGTGACACTACTTGTTACATTTTAAATAGGGTAACTTGTAATCTGTAACCCGTTACATCTCCAAAGTAACCTTCCCAACAGTATCTAGCCATTTCTAAACTTGCCGTTTTACCATAATAGCATGAGCTATTCTAGCATCTTGAGTAAGACTGTGAAGTAGGGATTTATTTTCATGAATTCATATGTTGTTTTAGGTAAATGCTGGGCCCATGGCCTACGCCCGAGCCTTCCTCGAGGAGAAGAACGCCAAGAAATACCCAGACAACCAAGTCAAACTCCTGAAAGAGATCTTCAGGTACCTCATTGTTCCCTACATCAAGGAACGCAAAGTATAATGTTATTATGGTGTTATTTTAATGCCACCATGATAACTGCATCAGAATGTCCTTCATTCTCATGCAAAATTAGTTCTCAAATAAGTCCAAAATAAATAAACTGAATGAAACACAGATCAGTATGGTCTCTAAATGTAATGTCTTGAATTAACAACGTTTAGAAAATTTGGATCTCCATTACATTCGATTTCATTTTACACACACACACACACAAGGTTTAAATAGCTTTGCTACCCAACACCAATATATAGTAGTAACTTTTACTGTACCTTCTGATCACACTGCAAAAAAAATAATGTCCTTCATCAGTATTTTTGTCTTATTTTCGCTGCAAATGTCTAAAGATTCTTAAGTCAAGATACACTTTACTTGAGAAGCAAAATGACCTAAAATAAGAAGTCTTGTTTTTTTATGAAACTGATCAAAATACAATGAGTTTATGATTAAAACAAACACAAATATCTACCAATGGGCTCAGAAAAATCATCTTCATTTTAAGGGAAAACAAGTTTTCATTCCCCATCGATAGATATTTCTTCTTGTTTCAAGCATAAACTCACTTAAATTTGTTCAATTTCTTAGAAAACAAGACTCTATATCTGCGTTTTGCATCTCAAGCAAAAGTATCTTGATTTAAGGATGTTTAGATATTTGTACTTGAAAACAATTCATAAATACTGAGGAAGATACTCATTTTTTTGCAGTGCATGCAACATTAAATGCCATGAATTTAAGACTTTCTGCTCTGATTTAAGAGCATTTTAGGCCTTCATTTTTGTAAGTGTGAATATTACAAAGATATTTTAAGATCTTTACAGGACATACATTTAAAGCAGTAAGTTAGACCACAAAAGTTTGGTTTGTTTTTGGGAAGTTTTAAAGCTGGACATCTATGATAAACTTCTATAAGCAGAATGTTTTAATGATGTTAACAAATGCACTGAAAGCTAAACAATGCTCAAAGTTTGTGGAGTGTACCAAATGACTTTTAACAGAAGTGTAGTGACTGCGATCCGGGTTTGCTGTTTGTGGTCCTGCAGGCAGTTTGCAGACGCGTGTGGTCAGGCCTTGAAGGTGAATGAGCGTCTCATAAAAGAAGATCAGCTGGAGTATCAGGAGGAGATGAAAGCTCACTATAAAGACATGCTGACCGAGCTCTCCGCCATCATGAACGAGCAGGTCAGCACACTTCATCCCATGCATTAACTCCGGAGCCCTCCAGATTTCTGTGTTTTCACTGATATACTGTAGGGGGCGCTATTACACATCTTCTGAAAGAGTACTGAATCTCTGGATTAAAACACAGGTGAAGAAGAAGCAGAAACAAGCGATCGCATGTGTAAACAGATGCATATGTAAAATAACGTGATCCTCAAACATTAAACAGAATAGAAATCAAAACTGCCTAAAGTTACTGAATGAAATGTCGACCCGGGAAGTGGTTTAAGACTGTGCTTTGTGGGTGTTGATGGAAGCGATCTACTCTCATCTGTTTTGACCATCAAATCTGATCCAAATATAGTCTTTTATCAGGCCTTGAAGGTGAATGAGCGTCTCATAAAAGAAGATCAGCTGGAGTATCAGGAGGAGATGAAAGCTCACTATAAAGACATGCTGACCGAGCTCTCCGCCATCATGAACGAGCAGGTCAGCACACTTCATCCCATGCATTAACTCCGGAGCCCTCCAGATTTCTGTGTTTTCACTGATATACTGTAGGGGGCGCTATTACACATCTTCTGAAAGAGTACTGAATCTCTGGATTAAAACACAGGTGAAGAAGAAGCAGAAACAAGCGATCGCATGTGTAAACAGATGCATATGTAAAATAACGTGATCCTCAAACATTAAACAGAATAGAAATCAAAACTGCCTAAAGTTACTGAATGAAATGTCGACCCGGGAAGTGGTTTAAGACTGTGCTTTGTGGGTGTTGATGGAAGCGATCTACTCTCATCTGTTTTGACCATCAAATCTGATCCAAATATAGTCTTTTACAAAAACGCAATTTTCTCAACGTTTTGTTCAAAATGCTGATCATTTTTTTTAATTAAACTTACCCACATTCAAGAGTTTATATAAAAATGCATAAAGCTAGAATAAAACAGTTTTTTTTTTCCTTCATTTGTTTAAAAGCAAAGGTTCAGATTTATTTTTTGACACATTGCATGCTCAGGTATTCATAAGTGAAAGTTCAAATGATCAAAAATGCCGGCGGTGGCTGGCAACTTTTTAGAAAAAAAAAAAAAAACGCTGGTGGGGAAACAGTTAAATGCATGTTAAATGTGACCCTGGAGCACAAAACCAGTCATAAGGGTCAATTTTTTATATATTAATAATAAATAATCTTTCCATTGATGTATGGTTTGTTAGGATAGGACAATATTTGGCCGAGATACAACTATTTGAAAATCTGGAATCTGAGGGTGCAAAAAAATCTAAATATTGAGAAAATCATCTTTAAAGTTGTCCAAATGAAGTTCTTAGCAATGCATATTACTAATCAAAAATTAAGTTTTGATATATTTATGGTAGGAATTTTACAAAATATCTTCATGGAACATGATCTTTACTTAATATCCTAATGATTTTTGGCATAAAAGAAAAATGTATAATTTTGACCCATACAATGTATTGTTGGCTATTGCTACAAATATACCCCAGCGACTTAACACTGCTTTTGTGCTGCAGGGTCACAAATGCTTAAATAAATCATCTTTTTTCTGCCTTTTGCTTGTATATAGTTACGTTGTGTGTTAATGGCATGCTTTTTCTATATTTCTCCACCCCTTTAAAGATCCCGTACACGAGACAACCCGGAACAGAACGACACAGTGCCATCTGAGCTGCTAGTGAGTTTGGGAAACATTGCTGTCTAACATGGCTTGTGGGTTTTTCTGACCAGAGGGACTAAAAAACTTTGATTTTAACGAAATAGAAATGGACAAAAAGGAAAAGAATTATAGTCTTGTGGACGAAGCAGAATGCCGTGTCTTTGCCTGTGTAACACACACACACACTCTCACACACACACACTCTCACACACACACACTCACACACACACACACACACACACA